CCTCCCCCCGCCCTCCACCACCACCACCACCACCACGACTCCTCAACGCAGTATTGGCCAATTTTACACACTGACCTTAACACAACTCGAGTATTGATCAAATAGGTAAATAAGGACTAACCAAGTTCATGAGGCAATTCATGGCAGAGAACAGTCAGTGCAGTAGAAATACCCCCATTAATACCAACAGCAAAGGAGGCACCGATAGCGATACCATCACAGAAGTTATGCAGACCATCTCCAGCCACAATTGTCCATGCAATTGCCTTCACGGAGCTCAAATCATGGCTATGGCCATGATGATGACCATGGGGTTTACTGGGATGCAGAGGACCCCTTCTGGAATGTCCATGATGATGACTGTGATGACGGTGTCCATGCCCGTGACCGTGACCGTGATGATGATGTCCATGTCCGTGAGTGTGGTGCCCATGGCCTTCTTGAACGGCCTTGTCTGCCTTCTAAATATACGCATATAAACCAGGATGTGAAAAACAAAACAGGTGTTCAATTAGCAGAAACCTGTCATTATAAATTGGGAAGGAAAAACAGCCACAGGTCGTGAAAGGACTGACCCAGATTCTGGGTGTTGACAAAGAAATGATTGTATTCAAGTTGAATGCGCAAGATGTTGAAGATCGCTCGTCTAATAAAATCCTCAAAATGAAAGACTCGATTTAGGGTAGAACTAATCCCCAAGTCTGAGAAATGCATTAAGGCAAGATATGTATAAGAAAAATATTAAAAAAAAACGTCGGCAGGAACTGGCTTTTCCTATGCTTCCTTTCATACAATTATATGCTAATATTAAGATAAGCAAACAAATTAAGGAGACCGCGCAAAGTAGAAGTTCAATATTTAATCAATTTGGCCCCAATTGGACTGTTTTAACTTGCAAAGAAATGCAGAATAATTTACGCGTTTAAATATCCTTTGAACACTTTTGAGCTCCCAGTACAAATTTCACTCTTATGTTGCTTCAAGTAATTCATTGCATTCAATTCCGAGACAGACATAAGTGTCATATCCTTCAGCCTGTACCCACCAAGGATTTGGCACTCCGATGGGAAAGGCTCCAAAAATGGCAAACACGCCCTGGTGACTAAAGACGTCATTTTCTAAACATGCTAAACTTAAAGTAAGAGATATCCATACTTAAACAGCAAAATATAGTACTAGAAATTGCAAAAGCTTCAAATTCATCATTAGAGTCCGGCTTCGACTAATATCATCGTGATTGCACCTACCCAAAAACTTTGACAATCATGCAGAAACTTCATATGCGGAGGATTTGAACATGAAGTAGTGAACTAACCACGACGCGCAAGTGTAAAACTTGAAACCAAAATTCACCCGAAATAATTTACTGTGGGTACTATTAATTTCTACCCTTATTCTGAACTGTTTCAAAATTCCGGCTTCAAGAAGAAGTTCGAAGCTACGACACTGAAAAATACGCGAGTCAGTGATGTATTGTCCAATGTGCAATCATGCTAAGTTAGAAGTTTCTGAATCAATGTCAATAGGTGTGCATCCAGTGATTTGGATGGTCAAATTCGTTGATTAAATATGGTCAAAAGAGAGGCGGCATGATATAACCATCCCCATGTCTAAGTTCGGTGTTATAAAACACCTGTATTCTAAAAAAGGTTGGGAGTTCAGTGGATGAGTTTGCTAAACTGTTGTGATCCGCGCGAATACAAATAGAAATAAGAAATTTTATGTGAAAGTAATCGGATGGTCTTTAAGTGCTTAAACGGTGTAATGTGACTCAAGCATCACCTAATCGAAGTATACGCAGTTGACCTTGCCATTTGTATCGGCAGTGTCAACTGAGCAGAAGGGTGACCTAACCAACCCATCCAACCGAATCGAGCATGCAAGAATCTCATTAAAAAAGTCTATTATTCGGCAGTTGACTTCCGACTTCAAAACACCATCACCTCACTGTATGTCATATTCGACTACTTCCACAGTACTCACCTCATCTTTTTCACTCTACCTTTGTGTCTCTCTTACATCTTTGAAATACTCTTCTGTTCCCCTCCCCCTCCCCCTCTCGACTTTTTTTCACTTTGATGTTCCTTCTTCTCTGTGAAGCCTGAAGTCAACTAAAGGGCTTATGATAACTATCAAATTGCCTGCCATTTGATATAAATAAAGTTCTGTGGACGTGGAAGTGGTGGAATATACCACAGAGTGGGGGCGTTGTTGTTTGAAGATGGAAGCAAACTGACGGTTTGTACTCATTCTCGCATATGCGTATGTGTCGCATGGGATGCTTCACGTGACGTTGGACTAACGTACACACGCAACCAAATACAATTGGTCAGATAACAGACCAATCAATGAAAGGCATTTGAAATCGTCTTTCTCATTTATGACTAGACCAGAAAAATCTGATAACCGAAAAAGGGCATGCAGCCTTAATTTAGTAAAGCTAAAATAACTCATTTCTCCCCTCATTATAACCTTAATCGCATCTTCTATCAATTACTTGATATTTGACATGAGCGTACACTGTTACTAAGTTAATAAAATAAAATTAAATATAATAAATTAAAACTATTAGTGGATTCACACCTTCCGAAAGTATTAGTATTAATTTGCTTGAAGTAGGCCAAATATTGTAGTGATTGAACAAAAATTAAGAATACTTTGCACCCATCAATTATTACTCTATAAAGAGGAAATTCAAAGTTCATTTCCTGCGACCAAATCGCCAAACCACAGGAAAGTCATTGAAAATATGAGATGAAATTAATTAGAAAAGATGAAATAAGTTCTCAATGTTTACCAATTATTTTGGCCTCCGAAATATTAGTCAACTGAAGTAATGCATTTATGTGAGAACAACTAGTCACGTGATTGGAACTTCAAATTTATTAATGTGGGATAGGATGTTTTGTGGGAATTAGAGAAAATGGTAAACGCATGAATTCAAATGGACAATTTGCATGGAATATTTTAACGACATAATCTTGAACAAACCGAATGTATAGGAAAATTTATTAGTAGGCATCGGTTGCGAAGATAATTTAGCGAGTGGTTTTTCAAGGCATGAATGACATTACAAATCATTAAGAGCCACCAAGGTCCTACAAATATGATGGAATTCGAATTCCAATTAAAACTCAATCATGTGATCC